TATTAAATATTAATATTAAATATTAATACACTACACCATCTGTAGTGTTCTCAACAAAAAGATTCTGCTGTTTACTAAAAGCAAACAACTGGCTAGTATTCTGTTGTGAATGCCACAGTTCAGCTTAAGTTTACATGTGTTAAATGGGTTTCTATTAAATAGTTTTCAGAATATTTAAAATATTTAAATATTTCAAAAACAGAATGGGAAAAGAAACCAAGTTGTGGTTATCTTAGGAAACTTTCTGATCTGAGGTATGTTTAAGATGAAGCCATCAGGTTGTTTTATTGGATTGATTCCCACCTAGTGTGAATCATCACTGAGACTGGTGGAGCAATGACAGTTCACAGTAGACGAAGATCCGGCCTTTGATGTAATATCAGTTCTGTGGTTCATGATCCACCATTTTTGATACAAGTGCAATTCCTAATTACAAGAATGTGATGTTAGCACAGAAAATAAATTTAGGGCATTTGTCAGGTAGATATGGAGGTCCTGGCTTGTTTATAGGGTATAACTTCACTGACATGATGAAAATAGTTATTTTACAAGGAATGTTTTCGTTCTACAACTCCTGTAAAGATGATACGGTAGCTTTTGGAAAGTTCTTATTGTGCCTGTATTTTCACCTTTGTATTTGTGAGTCTGTCAAACAGTTGTTCTTCTAATAGTCCAATTTTTTGTTTTTTCTTAAAGATAATGGAAGTAAATGGACAGAATTTTGAGAACATTACCTTTGTAAAAGCTCTGGAAATCTTACGGAACAACACTCATCTCTCCATTACTGTAAAAACAAACATTTTTGGTGAGTTGACTTTGTATTTGATGTATTTTTGTGAATGTGAAGAAAACCTCCAGTCTTTCTGGCTTTAGAAGTGCAATATGATTCCACCTTTTTTTTTTCCGACTTGCTCTAGGAGTGAGAAGTTGTGCAGAAGTCCCCTCGTTGTGCCTCCATTTGCTCAGATAAGTTCTTGTGTGCCAAGGGCTGCACGTTGAGTGGCACAAAGCCAGCATAGCCAGCTCTTTGCTGCCTGAGAAATCCTCAAATGACTGTTTAAGCAGCTTTAGTGTCCCTTCATGTGATATGGCTGAAAGAGAGCCAAAGGATCTGGGCCAAAATATTTTTGCCAAGAAACAGCAAAAATGTAAAACCGGGCTGTCGTAAAACGTTCTATAATGGCTGTAAGAATGATAGGATAAATTATCTTTATATCTAAAGTTGAGAAGGGGATATAAAAAGTGGTATGACATATAAACGTTGGCTTTTAATTGTCAATGTGAATATAAACACATAAATACCTCTTTAAAATCTTAGTCAAATCATCTGTTCTTTTTCTATAATCCCGCTCAAGCAACAGAATAACCATAGCTACAGAAAGAATGAGCCTGGGCACAAGATAACTCCTTGCTCTGTAGCTGTATCTGAGACTTTCTGGTGCTTTCCTTTTCTTGTTTTCTTCCTCCAGTTACCTGCCCTTGTTCACTGTTGATTTTCTTTTCAATTATTATTTTTTGTTTATCACTGTGCAGGTAAAAAGTTTCAAGATCCTAGCAGTTGCTTATTAACATAGTTCCAAAAAAGCATGAAACAACTATGGTAACCAGTGGTCCAGACTAATGTGAAATGACGTAAAATAAAGCATAACTGTAACTGAGACAGTGATAGATTGTTCATTTGTATTATAAATGTAAGCAACGTACGTTTATGAGTGGATTCTAATCTCTTCCTGCTAGCTGATAAAATTTCAAGGTGATTTCTCTGATAAATTTTAATGAATTCATGTCTTGAAGCTTTTTTCAACAGTGATACTTACTATCCTGTCTTTTTAATTGAGTGCTAAGTGCCTGGTACTGACAATGAGCAATTCCTGTTCTTACATTTGAATCCATACTGTGAAGGCTTTTAGCCCTAAATTTTACTAGATAATAGAAATATGTAATTTGGCTGGGACTTTCTCTACAGAAAGTCCTGGTTGCCTTGCTCATAAGCACAGTCTGAATAATTTGCTCTGTACAGTTCTGCATTCTCCCAGTATCACTGGTTTTGACAGAAAACACTGAATTTCTGAGTTGATTTATTTGAAAAGATTTAAGAAGATTTTTAAAAGATCTTTAGAAAAATAATTCGTATTGATAAACCAATTTGAACGTTTTGTTTTCATCTGTTATATGTGGGAAGAAACACAAAGAACACAAGCATGATCTTTGGGAATGTCAGTGTTGGTAATAGACTGGCTTAGTTTGATAAATGCATTAGGGAATTTGATGCGGCTTCTGTTCAGTACTATTACTAAAAGCGAACAAAGGGAGTTTTGGAAAATATCAATCTGTATTGCAGTTATTCTTGAGGAAGCATCTGCACTCCATTACCTAAAAGATGCAGACAAAAAAATCGGTAAATACATAGAGCTGATTGCCGTGAATGCAGTGTTTCCTTATTATCTATCTGGTAATGGTAGACTAGGTCTCTTAGGTTTGCTGTGATGTGTGCTAATTTCAAAAGTAGTTAGGAAAACTCTGCTGTGCACAATGTTTCATTGTTTTTATTGAACATTTAGGGGTTACTCTTTTGTGCCAAGGTAATCAAAAGGAAAACTTAAATGGGAACAGACCCACACCCTTAGAATGAAATGCAATGTATTGCCTGGTTTGTAACTCTTTGATTCACTTTTTCTGCAGGGATGTGGGAAGCAAAAGGTTTGAGGGGAAAGAAGAATTCACTGTGAAGTTTTAAGTGTGCAAAGGTAAATCACAATGATTGTATCTTCTCTTTCAGTGTTTAAGGAGCTGCTCTGCAGGATAGGACAAGAGAAGAATGGAATTCCACATATTCCAAAAATTGCAGAAAAGAAAAACAACCGTTACTCCATCCCAGATATGCCTGGAGATGTGGAACAGATGTTTCCCCGTGAAAAAGGAAACAAGAAAATGAAAGCAAACACTGTATCTGGTGGGAGAAACAGAATCAGGAAAATTTTAGACAAGACCCGATTCAGCATCTTACCTCCAAAACTGTTCAGGTTTGTCAGACTCTTCTGATCAAAAAGTAATTGTTCCTTCTTAAGTTGTGATATTTTAATTGCTTAGTATCTTCAATCATTATGTCCATGTTGCTTATGTTTTTTAAAAAATGCAGCAAATCTGACCTATAAATGCAGAACAAGGCCAAAATGTCTTTTCTCTCCCAGTGAACATTTTCAAATACGTTTTTCCTGTGCCCTTGTTTTGAAAGCCTGTCTACTGTGTAATTAAAACATGAGTGCCGCTATTTTTCTTGGTTTCGTTCATCTCAAGATGAATATAAGGTGCTTAATGCACATAATTGGAACAAAATTGTTTTGCAGTGATGGTAGTGTGAGCCAGTCGCAGGACGACAGCATTGTTGGGACTCGGCAGTGCAGGCACAGCCTGGCCATCATGCCTATTCCGGGAACACTCTCCTCCAGCAGCCCTGACCTGTTGCAGCCTACAACTAGCATTCTGGATTTCTCTAATCCGTCAGGTAAAACAGCAGCATTAGCTGATTTACAGGATGATTACAAGGCAGCTGCTTCGGGGGGGGGCGGAATTATATCTTTTACCAGCATCAAACATGCCGAGTGCAGTTACCTATTATTTTGTGGCCCTAACATGCCCAAACTGGAGATTTGCTGAAAATCCAAACTGCCTTGAACCTCTCTTGCCTGCTTTGTTGTAATGTGACACTTAGGTTGTTTTTTACACAGAAATGAATTTTACCACCTCTGACAGTCTTTGATTTACTGGAGTTTACCAGAGCTCTGGTGGAAGCAGATTGTCCTTGTCTACGCCTTTCTCTTTTGTTGTCTCTTCCCAATACCAGTACTCCTGGTGACTTGACTTGTCCATCCACCATCTTTGAATATATATTTCAAGCAGTATTGTGGATAGAATAGGACTGCCATGGTACCAACAGAGTGATATTAATGTTTAATGTTTTACAAACATTATGTATGTTCAACCGTATTCTGAAAAACTGAAAAATGTTTAGAGATATGTAGTCTAAGCTTTCATTGCGGCTACTGTAGGAATACAGTTTATGGGGTGGCTGCAGGAGGCATTTGTTGCTATATGCAGCTGCCTGTCAGCCATGTCAAGTCAGAATCTTGTTTCCCTGTATCGTGTAAATCTGTGCATAATTACATATTCTGTAAAGTGCCTTGTGGCTATGGCTTTTGTTTATGTAAACTTGCAGATTTCCCCTTTAAATGGAATGTACACAGATAGATCCTATCCAGTGCATAAATATCCATAGCAAATAAGTTCCCTTTCTGTTGCAAATCCAGATTCTTTTCTTCTGCATGAGAGCTACACATGTGTTCTCTAAGAATCTTCATTTAATACTATACAAGTTACTGCATAATATGAAATGTTGATAACTAGTCCTTCTTACCTTTTAAGTTTACTATAACAAATATGCTGTCATTTTTGAATGGCAGAGAAAACCAAATTATTTCTGACAGTGTACTACGTACAATTGATAGGTTTTGTAAACATCTAAATCTTGATTTGGTGTTGACACCATTTTTTTTCTTTTTTTCCTGCCTGCAGCTGTTGGGTTTTACTGTAAGTATCCTGATGTATAGCATCTTGTAGACCTTAATATTGCATGGCTTGTCTGTTAAACTTAACACTTTCATACATTACATTGACATAGTTGTTACTGTTAGGACATTAGACAGTCCTGTGCCCTGAAATCTTCCCTTGGATAAAACAAATCCATAGGTTCTTTTTACGGGCACAGTGCTGTACTGAGGCTGAAGCGTGCATTTTGTTCCCATTTCTGCCACCGACACGCTGAATGACCTTTGGCAGGTTCCTTTGCTTCTCTGTGACCTGGCTGTAAAGGAATGAAGCTGCTTCCTTTATAGGAACAGAAGTTTTAGGTGATAACATAGTTTGAGATTTAGTTTGTTCTCCTGTTGGACTCTGTATGACTAAAATTATGTGCATGCAAACCGGAAGCATGTTTTGTATTGTCAACACAAGTTGAATAATGCATAAGAAAATAATTTTTATTAATGTTTACCTGCTTAAAAGCAAAGACAGTGAAGACAGACATGTGCTTGTAATATAAGTTTCCCTCACCTGTCACCAGTTACACTTAGTTTTGGTTGCATGGTGATTCTTTTTGGTGGTTTTTGTTTGTTGTTTTTTGGTTTGTTTTTTTTTTTCCCTCCAAATGACACTTCTGGTTTTGGTTTCATACCTTGAGTGTTTTCTGATTATTTTTTTTTTAGGTATGTTGACACCAAGGTATAGATGTTTGCTTCTTCTGTTGATCTATAATTTTTGAATGCAGGCATTTCCCAAATTATTTAATGTGTCATTTTTACCGCTTTTGCTCTGAAATAAGTATATAATATTTACTTTTTGCTTTTATTGCCCCCATTCATGTATGCATGGAGCTTTACAAATTCAACTAGTCCCCAGCTATTAATAAGACTATTCTGTAGTGTGATAGTCATAATAATGAAACTGTTAGTAGAATTAGTTTTCAGCCAGATTATTTTTTTAACAGCATGTTTCCTCTCATCTTCCAGTTTATTTACAGCTGATGGTGAGGCTTTCTTTTTTCCAATGAGCAGAAACTTTTGATGCTGGATCATAAATTACCTGCTTGCTTTTTGCTTGAAGTTCCTGCTACTTGCCCCAATAACACCATTAAGTCCTGACGCAAGAAAAAGTAATCCCAAGCTCACTGCCTCATTAAAAGAAATCTTCACTTCTTCCTTAAGCAGTGGATTTTGACAGAGAAAGATTAATGTACAGGTGACGGGGTAAGCAGCATGTAAAACTCGGTGCTCAGAGAGCTGCTGCTGGAAGGACCTCGATGCAGAGCCCGGCAGGATGGTTCCCCTGCCAGAAGTGCTGACTCCCCTGGGCAGAGGGACGCCTGGTCCTTACCTCCCCGCGGCACTCGCTGCCCTGCTCTGGCTCCCCTCGCCTGGCAGGTCGCGTACCTCAATCCATGGATTTGGCACTTATCGCTGAGGTTATTAAAGGCTGGTCTAAATAACAGTGAGAGAAGCGAAGGGCTGTTTTGGAGGCTGTTGCTGTAATCGCAGCCCTTCGTTTCTCTCACTGGGAATCTCTGATGCAGGAGTTAACGGCACATCTGCCTCCGACGTGGTCTGTGAATAGCTGCAGGCTCTGAAGACGTGGCTGAGGGCTCAGCGAGAGCCTCCCACCTTCTCAGGTCTGCAGAAAACTTGTGAAGTTTTAGTCCTCAGACTTTAAAGAGGGGAAAAACTCTGCTTCCCTAAGTTTTAAATTAGCGTCGCTTTGACTCTTGACTTTTTTTTTTCCCCCAATCATTTTTATTTTGAAAATCAAGCCTTCTGTAATAACGAATGGAGCGAATTATTTCCCATCATCAAGCTGTAGATTAAATGTGTGTTTATTTAGATACTTATTTCCTGCTGTAGGCTGCCTCAGATAAAGCTGTTCTCTAATGCATTTCTAATGCATAAAATGTGCTATAAATAAATACACTAGCCAAAGAATTAACTGCTAGCAGCAGCTTAGTTCCTTCAGAATGAGAGAGCAAGTGTAAAAGTTTGCAGCTAGTTATGGGAGCGACCAAATCTCCTTTCTTCTTCACGTCCTCCTGCCCATAGCCCATCCACGCGTGCTCGGTGGCTTCCCCTCCCTGGGAAGAGTGCCCTGGCACGCATCTTGGTTCTGGCTCTCGCAAAGACAAAAGAGCCAAAGAAGGAATGATGCTGCCAAAGTTTTTGAGACATGCTGAGAAGGACAGTGTACAACTTAGTAATGTATCTAGATGGTCATGGGATGATAAAGTAATTGAGTTGTGGAAATGCAGAGAGGAGAGTCCTCTCAAAGTTGAAGGAAATGACTGAATATATTAATGAATATTTATCAAGTCCAGCATGGCTTTTTTTTTTTTTTCTTGCTAGCTGTTTTTTTGTTTTCTGGCTATCAAATGAGACCGTAAATGACCTTGTGTCTTTGCAAGGAAAGAGTAACTTCATACATTAAAGGTGTTACTCTGTTATTTTAGATATTCCGGATCAAGTAATAAGAGTTTTCAAAGCCGATCAGCAGAGTTGTTACATTATCATCAGCAAAGACACTACAGCAAAAGAAGTTGTGAGTCACGCCGTCCACGAATTCAACTTGACAGGAGCCCCGGAGACCTACTCCCTCTGCGAAGTGTCTGTCAGCCCCGAGGGAGTCATCAAACAACGGAGACTCCCAGATCAGTTCTCCAAATTGGCCGACAGGATTCAACTCAATGGACGGTAAAGGCGCTCTTGTTTTGATTTCAATTTGGATTTATTTGCGTTTTAGGATTGAAACATCCGAAAGAAACATCGGGGAGGGGTACCTTAATTAAAATAGACAGGTGTCTATGAGAAAAGCAAGCAATTGTCAGTGACTTTGACTTCCCTCTCCTTTCTTCCTTATTGCACCTTCCTCTTCTGCACCCAAAAAGCCTCTCCCCAAATCTACAGCAAGCTTGCTTGACGACAACTAAATTTAGCAGATCAGGATAATGTTTATAGTGGCTTACACGTAAAAAGAAAAATGTTATTTGTTTTGACACTTTCCACATATGCTTCAGGATTAAAGCATACAATTAATTTCTTTCTCAGTGATGTCATGTTGCAATGAACTGATACTAACCTGAGATAAATTCTTCCATTTTTATGTAAACTGTTACGAATGTTTCTGAAATGTTAAGTGTTTCAACTTTATCTGATGACCTGAGCCATACCAGAAGAAAGTTTATTAAGTAAAAAGTTCTTTAGTCTTCTTTGCTAGGCAACAGAGGGAATTTATGAGGAATAAACTTTAGTATATCTGAAAGTGATCTACTTGGGACCATGGAAATTAATTTTCCAGATAACACTTTCATTTCCTGAATACTATATGCTTCACGTAAATATTAATATGCCATGCTAAATTTATGGAAGAAACCACACTAAATTTGTGTAAGAAATAGAGAAATACATTAACAAGAGATTTCCTCGGACTAATGTGTATTTAAAATGTTATTTCACTACTGAATTTACAAATGGAAAAGTAACTGACCTTTTTCTGAAGGTGAAAGCTGCAGCATATTATGGAGTACAGTATAGAAAATGTTAGCAAAGAGCTAAATTAAAACAGCTTTTGAATTTTTATTTTTTTTTTTAACTTCGGTAATGATGGTATTTTGTACTAGCTAAAGTACAAGGTTGTGCTGTCCCTTCTTGCCTCTGTTTATGCTTCTTACACTGGGTTGTCAACAGTAACACAGAAATACTCTCACCTAAACACCCCTGCGGTGTCAATAGTGTCCACGTTGATTGGTATAGTTCAATGTCTTTGTGAACACAAACCCTCTGAAGAGCATCTCTAATGTTTTATTGTGACTCAATTGTTCTTTAGGTATTATCTGAAAAACAACATGGAGACAGAGACCTTATGCTCAGATGAGGATGCTCAAGAGCTACTGAGAGAAAGCCAAATTTCCCTCCTACAGCTGAGCACCATTGAGGTCGCCACTCAGCTTTCCATGAGAGACTTTGAATTATTTCGCAATATTGAGCCTACAGAATACATCGATGACCTTTATAAGCTGGACTCCAAAACAGGAAATGCTCACCTGAAACAGTTTGAGGATGTCATAAATCAAGAGACGTTCTGGGTTGCCATGGAAATTTTAGCAGAGCCCAACCAACTCAAAAGAATGAAGATTATTAAGCATTTCATTAAAATTGCCCTCCACTGTCGAGAATGCAAGAACTTCAATTCCATGTTCGCGGTTATAAGGTAAAATACTTCCCATTTGTCAGATCTGATTTGTGCTGTCAACCGCAATTCTGTTCATCTAAATGGAAAGAGAAGGAATTGGTATATCCTGAACAGATTACCAGTGGTGCTGGTAGTTTTAAGGGGATTACCAAGCTTTTCAAAAGCCAGACTCTACAAAGAGATGTATTGTCACTGCAGTCTTTTCTTTCCTCAGCCTTAGAAGTTCAGTCTTATTGCAGTGGTTGATGTGACTGTCTCTTTTTTTAACTGTTACCTGGCAGGGAAGGAGAAGATTTGGACAAAAGCACTGTTTGACTGATGAACTTCAGAAACCTGGCTGAACATTGCTGTCATTTTCTGTGATTCTGGCACCCAATTTCCTTTCTTTTTTCAGTCATTGTTACTTTTTCAGTGTGCAGCAAGTCATATCTGCAATGATATTACTTATTTCTTCCTTTCATTGTAAGGACTTCCTCAGATCAGTCTTGTTTTCGTTTAATTTTCCTTTTCATTCTTTCCTGTCATCTGCTTGCTTCTCTATTTTTTTTTTTCCTCTTCATTTGCACATTTAGACATTCTCTTTTGATTTATACTACATGCTGCTACTTTAACAGCGTGAGTTCAGCATTGCCTTTATTTGCAATTGTCTTACACCCAGGTTTTACTCTAAGGGGGAAAAAAAGGCACTGTGATTCGTCAGACAAAGGTCTGGATTCATACTGTATCCCAGCACCAGTGCTATCTAAGAAAATACCATTTAAAAATATTTTCTTCCGTGTCTAGCCAATTTATCAAATAGTATTGGTTTCTGTGTAGTCATACATTAAAGAATCCATGAATTTCATTAAATGATACTGGGCAACCGTTGGGGCTGTGGCTACTCATTACATGGTGAAATACGCATGTGGGTACAGAATTTAATTTCTATATTCTGCTCCCTAATTTCTCATGGTTTATTGTAGGTGAGGAAATGACTCTTCCTGCTTCTCAGTTAAGTGATGAGGCCATGACTGAAGTGGCCTTTGGTCAAAACAAAGCAAATAAATTAAGTTTGGTTTTACCCTTATTTCTAGAGGAACACATTTTTGTTAGCATATGCCACAGGGGTTCCCTTTCTTTCCTTGCCTTGCATTGCATATCAATACAATGCCCTGTGTTTCATGAAATAGGAAGGTAGCCATCCTAATGTAGCGTGTAAAAGAGGAGCAGTGTGGTGGCATATGTTTTATTTTTCACATGAGAGAAGGCTTTGTTTGTGGCTTGACAATATCATGGAGAGAAATCTGTATTAAAAAACAAAACAAAACGCAAATACAAAATAAGTTTTTGAAGCTTTCAAAGTGAGAAGAAAATCTTAGAATAGCAAATTCAGTAATTGTGTCATTCTGGCTTGAGCAATGAATGCTGGAGAATAGCACTTTCCAGATCTTCAGTTATGGGGACTTTGCTCAAGAAATTCTGCAATGATTGCAAAGTTGGTGACAAATTATGATAAGGAAGATGGATATATTTCATTTATTTTAATTTTTTTTCATTGCATCCAGCTAATTCTGGATATATTTTTACTTGATGAGAAAGAGGGCACAACAGCAAGTTTTAGCATATCTGCTGCCTCTAATTCTCAGTCGGTTGGTGCTCGTTTACAAATGCTCCAAACGTACTCCTTTTAAGTCTTGACGCTTTTACTTGGGATTAGCTGTGCACTGTTCTCGCTCGCTACTGTAGCTCTGTATTGACCTCATTAATTTTTCACCTTTTTTGTCCTTATTGCGGTATACATTTTTACAGGAGAGAAGTGTTTCTTGAGTTAAATGGGCATCGGTACTATGTTACAGAGAGATTGTTTTGGCAGGCGGACTTGGAAGTTGTACCTTGTGAATAGGAAGCAGTCATGCTTTTTCCACTTCTCTTTTTCGCTTGCTCACAAGAGTGAACAGCAGAGGTTTATTGTGATGAACTTGCAGCCTGGCGTTCACCCAGCTTTACAGTTAACCTTGTGGAAGCTATTTTTAATCCTTAAAACGAAAAACCAACCCTTTACTTCCTTATGTAAGGTAATGATTCTGCTAACAGCTAATAATGAAACGTCTCTGCCTTACAGTGGGTTAAATCTAGCACCGGTAGCACGTCTCAGAGGCACTTGGGAAAAGTTACCAAGCAAGTATGAAAAGCACCTCAGAGACCTTCAAGATCTTTTTGATCCATCTCGAAACATGGCAAAATACCGCAACATCCTTAGCAGCCAGAGCATGCAGCCTCCAATTATTCCACTTTTTCCTGTTGTGAAGAAGGATATCACGTTTCTGCATGAAGGTAACATCAAACATACAGAAATAATAAACTAAGTATTGAATATGCTTTAGCTCTTTCTTCAGTGCTCTGTGATTCAACAAATGTCTGAAAGAAGCTGCCACCAGTAGGATGCTTTTGATATGTCCTTTGTAGGAGTAAAACAAAATAGAACTCTGAATGCGTAATGGAAGAGACTGATCCTAGACAAAAATTAAATGCATATTTTTAATATTTTAAAAGCAATGCTTTATCTTCATCAGCTGTCCTAAGGTTTAAGGTAGAAGAGTAGGTGAGCGTGCTAACTGGTAGTTACCCTACTTGAAATATATTTCTCTTACAAAAACTTGATGCTGCAGTGTTTCTAGGTTTTCGTTCCATGTTGTGGCTTTCAGACAGCTACGATGATATAACACCTCCTACTCTTGCTTGCAGTATTTTCAAGGGTTTTTGTTTAAACGTTTCCATTTTGTTGCTTTTATGCAAAGTTCTATTCACAATTGGTTAAGGTTAAGCATTTCCAAATATGCCCAGTTCTTGGTTGTGATGTGTCAGAACCATTTGAACTAATTTCAGAACGTGAATGCTGTTGTTGTCAGTTCTACACATTATTTTAACATCTATGCCAATGAATTTGGGCATAGTTCACTTACTCCTTTTTCCTCCTACTGATGCTTACTTGTTACTTTAGAAATAGGTTAACAAGAGCAGTACTAGGTAGTCTGAGTGGGCCTGATTGTCATTTGTGTTTTGCCAGAGTTTCCCGTTTTCTGGTTATTTTGATTAAAGCAGTTGTTTTGATGGAGGGGCAGGGAGGGAGGAAGGGTAATGTGGGGGGCTAGAAGCACATTGCCCATTAAAAAGTATTTCTTATTCTTTTCTTTTTTTTTCATATGTGTGTGTGTTTCAATTATGCAGGAAATGATTCTAAAGTGGATGGCTTGGTAAATTTTGAGAAACTCAGAATGATTGCCAAAGAAATTCGCCAAGTTGTCAGAATGACCTCAGCAAACATGGATCCGGCTGTAATGTTCAGACAAAGGTGTGCAATTTAGAAAGACAGTAGGATTGAAGGTGTCTCAGCGTGGGTAGGGATCTGGGTTTGTGTGTTCATCAGTATGTTAATATTTCATTGTGTAACATCTCATTGACTTTTACCATCAGAACCGCAATCTTTATCAAATTAGGGCAGTGCGATTGATGCTTCCAAGACCTGCTTTTAATGACTACTAAACCAATCTGTTGCCTTTAAAAAACAAAGAAGAATAGGTTCTAATTTTAACGATTCATATTTTTGCTAAATAAAATGTTAGTTCCCATATGCTTTTGGGAGAGGTGTAATATTAGGATAGTGTAATATTATCTATATATGAGAGAGAGAGAGAGAGACAAAAAGCACCTAAATCACCCATGTATAAATCTGAAACATTGCTTCAAAACAAAACCCCACTGATAATATATTAAAACCAAATAAAATATTTTTTTATTTGTTCACAGCTCGCTCCACCTACATAATGTTTGATATATTCAGGCTGTAAGCTGGTGGAGGGGTTTTTTTTTGGGGGTGTTGGGTTGGTTTGGTTTTTTTCCTGATGCATCTGTTCACAGATGCACATATCAGGCTCTGTGTTGACAAACTGCAAAATAAAAGCTCAATGATTTCTAATCTGATGCTGATGAGCTCCAGGTTGTATTTAGTGGAACTAAATAATTTCCTACATCTACTTGCTTCCCACTGGCTGAACTAAAAGCGTCAGCAGCTCCGTTGTGTCCATGCAGGGTCCTGATGCCTGTAGGTCCCTGCTGAGAAGGGAGGTGATGTCCTTTCCTTGCACTGTTAGTTTGCCTTTTGAACTTACAGGCCAGACAAAAACCCCTCAAGATGCAGTTCAGGTGGAGAGCTGGTGACAAAATGAGGTCCTGTGCTGGATCACTACACGGTTTCTACTTAAAAAAATGACAGAATAGTCCTTCGAGTTGTCGGTTCCACGTGTATCCGCAGCAGTGTCTGGCCAGCAGTGGAGAGCTCTCTGAACGCTGTGGAGTGAGCAGCGTGCAGAGGAAGTTTAACAGACAGTTACTTGGGTGAAGTGTGCTTGGTACAAGCCCTCACTAAATTCCAATTCATAGGTCACCTGTGCAGTTGTAATTGTCTTAGATTTACGAATTCAGTTACATCTGTGCAGTGGAAGGAAATAGCATGTGCAAGGATACGCAGCATGTATACGAGCATTGAGATTTGGTTCCCTGTGGTCTTCCAGTGGTCAGGATTCACAGATGATCATGAATCCTGCCTGGTTTTTATTTTCAAGACTGACTATCAGGAAACTTAAGTATTTTGTTTAAAATTGGTCCAGTCGAGGTTTGAGACAGAAATAACAGATCCCTTGCTAATGTTGTTTAAGGATGGATTCGTTTCAAAGTGGAAATTCACCTTCATACTATTGGATTTGAATTAGGAAAATTTCCTTTTTAACGTAAAGGTATAAAACTACTTACTGATAAATTATGATTGCTGTTCAGAAACTTTGGCATTCACAGATGAAATCAATCTATAAATAAATTTCCCTGATGCCCTGTGTGCTTTCTAAGACCTAACAAAGCCTAACCATTAAATGAATTTAATAGTAAATAGTTACCTTTAGTATGTTTTTCAGAATTACAGAACACATTTTAATGACCATAATTTAAATTATGCACAGTGATATAAAATGCTTGGGCGTCTAATATTAGAGATAGTGCCAAAGATTAAAAGAAAATAATTCCCTGTTTTCACATCATTTATATTCATTTTCATTGCCTCTGGTGTTTGATCTATCAGTTTGTGGTAAGAAGCACCAATAAATGCTTTTGAAGATTAAAAATGAACAAGAAAAGATGTTTGTTAGTGGTAACATGAGACTTGCTAGCAGGTTCATTACCGATTTAATATAAATCAACGAGCTTGTTTTCCGGCTAGCAATTGAGAAAACAACATCATAAACTTGAATACTGATGATGATTTCTGATATGCTTACTGCGGTCCTAATGCAAAGAATAAATTGGTTTAATGACACTTTCTGCAATATGAGTAAGTTGAACAACCTTCGCTCGCTCCATCAAAATTTAATTTGACTTACGGGAAATACTTAACAAGAAAATTTAATGCACGTTTGGTTTCTAAATTCATAGGTTAAACTTAAAAATAAGCAAAAAACTGATAGATGTTCTTCCATGTTAAAGTATTTGAGGACATCCTGCCCTTGCATTCCATTAAAACATTGTGGTGTTGTTTGACAAGAATTTTGCTGTATAGAAATTTTTTCTTTTCTGTTCTTTCCTGTCTACATCTTTCTTCCTGACTCTCAACTGTTTTATTTTTTTCCTGTGCTTTTCTGTTCAAATACATGCTTCAATGTATATGGCTCTTGCTTACAGGAAGAAGAGGTGGAGGAGTTTGGGGTAAGTGTAGAGATGAATGCAACTAAGATAAATAAAGATTATGCAACTCTTAACATACTGCATCCTCCTCGTTAGTGCATGCATCTGATATACAGCATGCATTTTATTAACCCTGCAATACATATTTTTTGGAAAACAGGAATAAGGGGTTACAGGCAACGTTATACTGTAGCAATGAGAATTCTGAGTTGCTTTTGTATACTAGATAAGTTGTTTGAGTTTTGGCTTTATGCATTAAAAAAAACTGCTGTGCAGTTATATTGGAAGGCAAACTATTTTGGGAAATAAATAACTTACTTTTTAACATGTAACAGAAAAGTTTAAGCCATTCTGCATTTTAAACTATAAGGATTCTTTGAATTGTGATAATGATACAATAATTTCCCCCTAGAAATTTGAACTCAAGCTTCAAAGTATTTTTTTTTGTTTGTTTTAGTATATATTTCAAATGTATCTCACATTTCATACACTAAAATCCTCACTGATTTCACTGGGAATCTTGATTGTGCAAGGACTGAATAACGAAGTGACTACAAGTGAGAGTACTAAGACTGGCTAGTGAAATTCCTGACTGACACATGGCAGTGATTGTAAGATGACGTGGTAGCCATATTCTGTGTGTTCTTATGTGTATTTTTACCCATAAACTGTTATCTGTGTACCCAAGCCTATGTGCCTTTGCACTTTGAAACTCTACTGCTTTCTATACTATGGGCATCTGGTTTAGAGCCAACTATACATTAGTATGTCGACATTTTGCATAGAGGACTGAAGGCAGGAAAGCTCACGGTGCTTTGCCCTCCCTACAGTCACTTGTCAAATAATATATTAATTATAGATTAAGTTGCAGGAGAAGCCTGGTGTGGCAACACGATTTGCCGGCAAAGAATATCCAGGTGCTTCTGTGCAGAGAACGGATTTACTCCTGCCAGCAGTGATGGGGACAGTGCCAGGCCTTGGGCAAGACAAACTGGGGAGAGCAGGTGTGGGCGCTGGTCCCTGATGCGAAGTCAGCAGCAGTGTGTGGATGCCCTTGGTGCAGGAGAGCTGGGCTGGCAGCGTTAGGTGGTCGGTAATCAACCGCCCAGAGTGCAGCTCATGGGGAGAAATACCTAGGACCCAGCTGGAGCCACCACACTTTCTAACCCCTGGGATTACTGTGAGCACAAGTGAATAAGGAAAAATCATTTTTAAAGGAAATTGAATTGAATTAAATTGCCTTGAAAAGTCAAGTCCAGACTTAAAACAGTGTGTACGTAAGCAATAAAATATTTATGTCATTAAAAATAAACATAATGTAGTTTCTTGTTTCATTATGTAATAGATACTAGCTTTGTTCTTATCCGTAGGAGATGAGTGCCCCCATGGTTTGAATAGGTGTGAACAGTCCATCGTGCCTTTTGCTGCTCTTTGCCGATAATAGCATTACTTTTTTATTTAGTTAAGCTATAAATTTCTGCCAGTTTTTTAAGCTTATATTTTCTCTTACATTGCTTTATTTAACATCTTTGAAAATATGGCAGTCAGCTGTTTTCCACCACTTCTTATTTTTTAAGCTCAGTGTGCTCAATTCCTTAGACTTTCTCTAACAGTGTTTCATTCTGACTCTTTTGGCCATTACAGCTCTTCTGTGCTGGAGATTGTTTATTCTGCCACTTGTGGTTCTGTAAACACACGCAAGATCTTGATAAACATCCTCACAAATAATTTAGCCTTTCAAAAGAAAGTTATTCCTCTGAATGTTTTAAAGAAAACCTACAAACAAACAATTTTGAACTACTTTATTGACACTTTCCATTAGAATTTACATGTAACATATACTGCAATCTCCATTTATTAAAAAATGCATTAGGACTGGTGTGGCCATAGGACTTTTGACAGTTCAAATGGAGGTGGTGTGCATATTTGAAGTACACCAAGATCAGTTGTCTGGGCACTGATTCAGTGTGAATAAGAGTGACTGTCAGGGAGAGTAACTGATGTACGCTGACAATCTGCAGATTATTTATTTTTGCTTCAGTTGCTGATAGAATTGGCAGCTCAAAATCAGGAGTATTAAGGAGCGTCGTCTTTCATAGATGCAAGTGTGTACATGTCTGGGCATATGTGTATTATCACTGCCTTCCTGACCTTTGTGGGGATATGTTTTTTGAATGAGCTGCTCTTCTGTGAATGTTTTTACTTAGAGCAAGAAGTTAAGTGCATAATACAATGTACTTTGCACACTTAACGTAATTTTTCCTCTTATTTAAACATTGTCAGAAGCTCAGTTTTCTAAGAGGATTACAGCAGTCACTCACTTCTGTACTCAGCTAATTGCAGTAAGTTTCTGTTGTGAGCCTGGTGCATACAGTGGGTACCAAATTCCTTAAACCAACAAAGTTATCAAGTTCGTCCGTTCTTACAGTCTGCAGTTGAAATAGTGTGGGTCTTGCAGTGCGAGGCTGCGATTCATTAGCAGAGCTCAATGGGTACTGTACGCAGCGTTGTGCCTCATTCTTCCTACTTCCACACTTTCGTATGCAATCCTTTTCTAGACTCAAATTGCTGCTCTCAATCTACCAGAATATTTTAAGACAAGTATTGTTTTAATGCTGTTCATCTTTTTAACTCATTTGCATCAGCATGCACTAGCCCTAACTGAAGATTATTGGTATTAATCTGCTTTGGCGTGTGCTACTGTAGCTCCTCATTGCTGTTGAGAACTAAAAATTTACTGCTTTGCTCTTTTCTTTTATAGGTCCCTAAGCCAGGGCAGCACAAACTCGAACATGCTGGATGTACAGGGAGGCGCTCACAAAAAACGTGCCCGACGCAGCTCACTTCTGAATGCCAAGAAGCTGTACGAGGATGCCCAGATGGCGAGGAAGGTGAAGCAGTACTTGTCCAACCTGAATGTAGAGACAGACGAAGAAAAGATCCAAATATTGTCACTTCAGTGTGAGCCTGCATATAGCACTTGTAAGTACAGTGATCAAAACTGGTGGCATGATCTATGAAAGTTATAAAAATCTTGTTCCTTCCCTAGAAATACTCACTTAAGATCTTTCTCTTCTCCCTTCCAGAAAAAATACTCTAGTAAGGGCTTGTTTGTCAATTCATGTGCTACCAGTTTCAGCAAGCTAGCATTTATCTTTGGATCTTGGTTGAGTTCAGAAGACTTCCGTGATGTTTTCTGTTTTGACCTTTAGTTCTTAAACTGTGTGTCTTTTCATCAGTCTCGAAGGAAATTCAATAGTACATTAGCTCTATTCTTGCCCTGCTGTCCTTGTACAGAATTAGGAAGGATAAAAGTAACATTTACCATATGAACGGCATGAAAATAAAAAGAGACAAAAATCAATATAGAAACTGCAATGGATTACAGCTTAGAATAAATCAAGATTGTTGAGCTGGAGAAGTTAGGTCAATATTGACTGATGGGATTGACATGGCTTGACAGTCAAAAATTGAGGGCTACAGCAGGACAGTTTCCATAATTTGAGTTCCTGTGCAACTGTCTAACTAAGCAAACTGTTATCTGACCTCCTGTCTTACACAGTTCAGTAAATTCTTATTTAAAAATGAGAAATGGCAGTTGCACTTTATTGTGATCCTTAGAAATTTTCACTTGCTTGAAAGGTAGGTTTCAAAATAGAAGAGTAGCAAATTGCTAAGCAAAATAAAGTTTCATGTTTCTCTGTTGTCCAAATTTAGCATTTTAAGACTCCTTTTGTCCTGAAATACTGGTTTGTCTCTGACGAGGTAAGTTAAAAGCATGACTAGGAGATGGCATCCTGAAGATAAAATTTTAAATCCTTTCCATTATTCAGTATTAAGAATGCAAATCCTTGTTATTCCCTAAGGTGCCTTCCTATGCGATTTTTTTTTTAGCATTTATTTTTAAATAGCACTGATGTAGAAATCCTGGAAATGGCGATACTTGACTCCCTTTTTAAAAATGTTAAATTCTGTGTATTCGCACTGGCCTTGTGCCTGAGGTCACCAGAAGTCACAGGTAGCTCTGAATAGAAAGTTGCACGGCATCATACATTGTTAGTGGAGGTGTTCTGCTTGTGCTGTGTTCACAGATATGTAATAGCACAGAACATTTCTACTTAGAGGTAGCACCGTTGTGGGTTTTATGCTTTACTTTGCCACTCCTGCCAAAACAATAAACTAAAGTATATCATAGATGATCTATGTGCGAACGTAACAGGTGGCCGTACTATGCCCAGGAGACAAACATAAATGTTATGAGGTTGTTTTTCAATTGCTTTAAATAAATCATTTAAAATCTTGTTTGCACAGTGCTAGCCATAGGTACTTGGAATTAAAAATAGGGAATACATACTGACTGATTTACTCCACGTAGTTAAGCAAATCAAATCCTTTTTTTCTTCAACTTCAAAAAAGGAAAATGAAGGTTAAGTGGATATACAAATAACTGTGTAGTAGAGTGGCATATTATTAAATTACCTATTTTTAAAAACTGGAAAAAAATAAAACCACCAAAAACCGCAGGTAATTGATCTAATTGAGATTATAGTCATAGTTTGCAGAGCCAGCAGAATGGATGGGGGAGCGATGCGGAGCACAGGGGAACTGCCAGCCCCCGCGTGGGTTTTGTGCCGGTGGAGTGGGAGCACTGAACCGTTCCAGGGAGAGTTCCTCTGCACTTCGTGCGTTTATTCACATTTAAATTTTGACCGAGTGGCTTTGAATCAGGGAGCCTGCTGGCACATGGTTTTGCAGGTTGGTTTTGTGCAGGTAGGGTGTTTTCGCACATACCTGGAAAAGCAGGAGGTGCAGCTCCCCAGTCTCTTGTCTCAGTAGCAAGGTTCTCCTGGCCTTGCTTGCAGAGGAATGAGCAGCAGTAATGCTGCAATCCAGCCTTTCCCAAGGGAATTTAAGGAGAAGTCCGATGGCCTTAACTTCAGAATTTATTAATTGCTGTGTGATTAAAGTAGAAACTGCAGCAGTGCCCTGTGTTGTAAATCGAGTGTGCCACCTAGTGAAAGGTTTGATGCCAATTGCAAAACAACCGTTCTTCCCCCTTCGGTGGCATTGCGTAATTTTGAAAGAGATGCTGTTAGGCTTTTGCACCTTATTTACAGACATCTAAAATATGGACTCGTAGTAGGAATAAATCAAATTTGTCTTTTGATGAAGTACCTCTGTGACACTTTACAGAGTTTAGGTTTTTTAATGCCATCTTGTGCAACAGCCTCTTCAGTGTAACGAGATGGGGGTGTTTGGAATAGAAATGATTTCAAATACATTTTATCTGCTTCATACTATGGTTGTTTTGTCTGGATGGTTGTACTCAGAATGACTGTAATAATCCTGCAGTTCAAAGTGCAAGATACTTATATGCAATTTTTCTGTAACAGTGACAAAGAATTTAAGTGAGAGAAGAGGAGCAAAATCCTCAGAAATGTCTCCAGTACCCATGAGATCAATTGGCCAAACCACTAAAGCCCATCAGCATCAGCAAAACAGGATGAGTCAAGTTCTTCAGGTTCCAACTGTGAATTTATACCCCAGTAGGAAAAAGGGACTGACAAAGGATCATGTCACATTCAGTGAGTATATTCAGTTCACCTGTCTGGAGAGTTTGGTAGATTAAGTAACTAAGAGGGAGGAGCTGGTTTGTAGCTGGGTGGATTATTTGCGGTACCATTGTGCTTCATTTACTTCATTCACTTTAAAATAGCTGAAGCCTATTACTGTGTTTTAAGAGAGCGTGCCGTTTACTTAGTGATTTGCACCATCTTTAATGATTTTTCTTAAACCAGTTGATGGCAAGGTGCTGTCTCCAAATATGCTCTTGCTTTGTCATTTTTTCCTTTTTTTCCTTGAACTAAAGAACGTGTTCTAACAAAAGTGATCTTAATATCTCTCTCTTGAACAGGTCAGGTGTACAGTGTTAAGTCTTTTACTCTGTATTTCTGTATTTTAAAGGGATCTTGCACAAATGGAGTAGAACAACATCACTTGTTTCTTTTCATGATAAAATGAAGTATATTTAGGTGAAATCATTGAAACAAATCACAAACTTAATATTTTAACCTCTGGAACACCATTATAACAACAACATTGTCAAATGGAGCAACATAGGTTAGCAGTTGCTCCCAGTGAGCATCAGGTTTTTTTCTGTCTCTAAATTTGCTAGTTGCAAAGCAGTATTATGTATTAAAATGCTTTTGACCTATTTACGTAACTGTTCTATCATTTGAAAGCTACAGTTGTGTAGCTACTATTAAGTAAAGTTGGTTGCAGTCAGTAAATGATATGAAATTATTTGATGATACATTGAGCATCAATATCCATTAAAATAGCTTCAGAAAACGGTGTATTGCAGCATATAAAATAGTGTTTCCAGTTAGTGTTTATTTCAAGACTCCTCTTAAAAGCCTCGCAACTTGATATGTTCCAGAAGCTTTGCTGAAAGGTGTTTCTTCATTCCCGTGTGTTAAGTGTTCATTGTTGATCTAACAAGATATTGAGGACTTAAATTAAGTCCTCAGCACTGTGTCCTCTGCAAGGTGGTCTAATAGGGAACAAGAAATACCACATCATCAGTTTGCGAAGTACAGTGGTACACTGGTTTTGCTCAACTTGCAAAGTTGTGTATAGTGCCTGTGGGTGCTGGTTTGAGAACTCCTGATGGTGAAGATCTTGAACTGACTTGTTGACTATAACGCCAGTTGCTTTTAACACTGTCCCAACAGTGTCATGGGCAAGGGTTTCCTCCAAGCTTTATACGTTACACAGTTTTTAATCCTTTGCCAAAACCACAAGTAATGTATCTGTTGCAATGGTTCTGGTTATGACCTGGGTATGTCAACACACTTCAGATGAACAGACAGCAGTAGCAGTGGCCGCTGCTGATCTGATCTAAATTTGAAATGAAGACTGACTCTGCATGTAGAATTCATCTGAGGGTCTGCTCCTCTCTTTGCTGAATACTCCAGTGATTGTTCAACATGGTGCTTGTTTGTAGTTTAAACAGATATCACTGACTTGAAAAGAGAGTAATACACAGTAAATGATTCCATTGTTCTTCTAGGTACAGGCTCCCCACAGAAGTCATTAAGCTTGTCTGAGGAAGTAAGTAGTAAGAAACAAACAGATGACACTATGTCCATGGCATCTTCTTTGCACTCCAGCCCACCTGCTTCTCCTCAGGGCTCTCCACGCAAAGGTACGTGTACTGTGTGAATGTTCACAGTGTGCATGTCAGCATCAGGCTTGGGAACTCGCGCCTGTGTTGTACTAAAACCAGGGTGGGCAGCAGCAGGAATATTTGTTGGTAATGACATGTAAGAGAAATGGTAGTTCAGGATATTCATGCCAAGAATAGAATCATGTCTTCTTATGAATAGACATAGTTTTTCAATATATTTATATGTTTTGGCCTTAAAAGTCCCCTACTATTTAAAAAGGGGAACAATTGTTTTCTTAAAACTTGCTTAAGTGCTTCTGACAGAATTCCCAATAGATCTTCAGTGCTGACACCTGCCAGCGTATCAGTTCAGATTTAGGTGACCACTTACATGAATGGGATTCACAAACCTGGGGTTTTCTTGAAGATGACAGTGTTGCACAGCAACTGTGGCTGTTGAGACATCTTATGTTGCTGCTTAAGGTAGCTGGAATATCAAGTGATTAGATGGAGCTGGAGATAAAAGGGTGTCGTAGTTCTACAGAACAGATGGTTTTGATAGCTGCAAAAGTAGTGCATCCATCTAAATCCTTGAGTCACTATTCATAGCTTTTGTTCTTGTGCACAGGGCTTTGTATACATCCCTGTCTATCATGATGCCCTGAGAATGCCTTTATTTTTGATGTCTTCATCTTAAAAGACCTGCATCACTTCATCATTAGTCAACCTTGGATGGGAATTCATTTGAAATCTCTTAACACCACTTTGTAGTCAGCCAGTGTGGTCAGTGTTGAACGGTGTAAGGCATTTCTCCCTCCCTTCTGTGCTGCTTTTGCCTCACTGACAGCCCGAAGCCACTGGATTAGCATGGCATGGCATGGTGCATCTTCTCACACTTTGCAGTGGGAGATCATGCTGGTCCATCCACTTCTGCCTTCACAAGATACTGTTTCCTTTAGGAGAATGCCACTTATTTTACTTAGACACAGCATATGTATAAGAAGCGTAATTACTTGGGTTGCCAAACCTAGCTCCAATGAGATTTTTGAGCATCGCTTATAAACATGTTATTTTTGTTAACTTTCATCTGGTTCTTTGAAAATAATGTTTTGTTTCTTTGGGATTATTTCATTAATTCAACTTGCTTTCAGCATATTTTTAGCACTGATCTAATTTCATTGAGGTGATCCATACCCTGTTTTATGTGTGGTGCTAACAGCTCATTGAACTAAAATTAGGTGCTTCACAGACAGCTGAAAGACATAATTGTAGGCATGAACACATTCCACTTAATCTTAGATTTCATTTTCTTTTGAGCTATACCCAAGTGATATGCAAATAGGATTGAAGAAAAAAGGTTTGAAAATCAGGATGTTATTTTTGCCGTTATTTATCTTGTCACTTATCAAGATCTGCCTGTGTGTACTTTGTTGTAGTTGGTAACATCCAAAGGTCGGATAACTGCAGTCAAATGAATCTCTCTGGCTCTTCCTCATCCCTCGCCAGTGAAACCAGCAACAAGAACAGTGGACAGCGCAGCTACGGAATAGGTGGGGCCTATTTACAAAAGAAAATTTGGATGATTATCAAAGCAAGAGACAGTTCTGACATAAGTGAAAAGGCAGAAAGAGAGGATGAGAGTAAAAAGGTGGAAGCTGAGCGTGAGGACAGGAAGATGAAGGGACCCCGGTTTGGAAGACTTTCTTCTCCAGGGAAAGAACAGCTTTTACTGCAAAAAGGAAAGCAGAGCACACTGAAGATTCAGAAGGGAGTGAAAACCAAAAGGAGAAAGACAGTGATGCTCTGAGTACAGCAAGTATCTATAGCAACAGCAATCTGTGGACATCTTCCTGCCTATGTATGAAGTCTAGAAGGAGAAGGAAGACTATATGATGCATTTTTAGAAGAAAGACTATGATGTCCCTTTTATGTCAGATATACTGATTTTTTCTAAGTTATTTTAGCATTATTCATTCAAGCTGTTTAATGTGCTTCCCTTCCGGATATTTGTGTCAGTTATTTATAGCTAATCACCCTTACAGTGCAGTGAAGACAATGTGAAGTTTAGAAAATCAAGGAACAGGTACACTGGCAGTTCTGTTACTTAGTGTTTTGCAAATGCCAATGAAACAGTAAGTTCTGCAACATTCTCTTAATTAGACTCTAGATAGTCCCTCATACGATGTAAATCGAGTGCTCACTTCCAGAATTGGTGTATATTTGCATTGGTTACATCTTCTGCTAACCTTTTAAGCCCAGTGAAGACTTGCATTTAATCTGTTTATATACGTGTGCTGTGCTTAAGGATTCAGGTTTCAGATAGTGTTAAACTCTTTAATGAAGAGCAATCCTTTTGTTCTCTAGATCTTTGAAGTTCTTGAAGAAGAGCATCTTAAAAATAAGGGAGAACATTTCCTACTGCAGTACAGTTGTGTTAATTTTAAGGTGTCCGTTAGAGTAAAGAATATGAGGTATTAATTATTGTCAAAGGAAAGGCAACTGAAATTTAATCTTAAAAATGCTGATCTTAAATGCATTTTTTTCATTCATAAGGTTCAGTTCTTTAGTTTGATAATAGTGATATTTGTTGTAGTGATATTTGATGCTCATATTTGCTCTTAAAAATCTTACAGCAATAATCAAGCTTAAGCTGTGAATTTCTTAAATTATGAACTGTATGCTTAATGGCATGTATACCAATGGCTCCAGATGCTGTATTATCTGACCTCTAATTTTTACGGACTTGATGGCATCAGTCTTCTGTATTAGGTTGTGTGTATCACTGACATGGCTTTTACACTGCCTGGTCATTTCACATTTTCGCCTAATTGCTGTCAATATGTGGCAGTCCAGCTCAAAGGCACATATAGGTAGAAATGAAATGAGAAATTGAGTGATTGGCAGGAATTTTGGAAAAAATGCTTATCTGAGGACTGTGTCAACAGTGTAGTACTACAGTCTCCTGTAAAGAAAGACCATATTTTGAGTAATTACAGATTCTTGTTTACAAGGCAATTGGTGGCAGTCCAGCTCAAAGGCACATATAGGTAGAAATGAAATGAGAAATTGAGTGATTGGCAGGAATTTTGGAAAAAATGCTTATCTGAGGACTGTGTCAACAGTGTATTACTACAGTCTCCTGTAAAGAAAGACCATATTTTGATTAATTTACAGATTCTTGTTTATGAGGCAATTGATGATCCAGTATTTTCAAATGAAGGCTCTAATTTTGTAATTTTATGCACATAATGTAAGGCATATCATAGACTGTTTTCTCCTAGTGGAGGCAGGGATGTATTTCCTGACATGCAGTGGATTTGCTATAGAGAAACCCAATGGGAACTTACAGAAAAAAAAATACTTAAACCAAAACAACATCACAGTCATTAATCCAAGACTTTTTGCCCTCGGATAAAGGGGAACAGACCACAACTGTGGGCCAGGGAGTTACTGGAGTTTTGTAATTAAAAAAAAGAAAAACCAAACAGAAAACCAAACAACAAACCGATTTAACCGACGCCTCCTGATTTTGTTGCCTGATAGCATGAGAGAATGAACTTTGGTCTGCCCATGAGATGGTACATGGACTTATCTACAGAGATGAATACTTCAGAGAACTTGAAATCTGAACATCCTAAATTTGCGGCTGCGACTGAAGGCACTTAAGCCTACAGGGCCTGATAGGATTCATCCCAGGGTACTGAGAGAGTCAGCTGACGTTATTGCTAGACCTCTCTCAGTTATTTATCAATGATCTTGGGACTCTGGAGAAGGTCCCAGTCAACTGGAAGCTAGCAAATGTTATTCCAGTTTTCAAGTAAGGCAAGAAAGAAGACCCTGCTGGTTATAAGCCTGTCAGTCTCACTTCAGTGCCAGGTAAAATGATAGAGAAGATTAATCTGGGAATTACTGAAAAACACTTGAAAGACAATGCGGTTATGAGTCAGAGCTGACATGGGTTCATGAAGGAAAGGTCATGCCTTACTAACTTAATATCCTTTTAAAACAGGATTACCCACCTTGAAGGCAAAGGGGAGGCAGCAGATGTGGGTGGCTGGGATTTTAGCAAAGCTTTTGATACTGTCTCTCACAGTATCCTTCTGGACAAAATGTCCAGCATGTACACCATACTATGGATGAATGGGGTACCATCTGGCTGGCCGCCAGCCATTAGTGGTGCTCCTCAGGACTCAATTTTAGGGCCAGTGCTCTTCATGTTTTTATCAATGACCTGGACAGAGGGAGTTGAGTCCGCACAAGTAAGTTTGCCAACAGTGCTAAATTGGGAGGAGTGGTTGATTCCTTCCAGGGTAGAGAGACCTTACAGAGAAATCTTGATAGATGAGAGTGCTGAGCAGTCACCAGCTCTGTGAAATGTAACAAGAGCAAATGCCGGATTGTGCACCAGGGACAGTGTAATTCTGGAGGCAGATATAGACCAGGGGGCAAGAGACTGGAACACAGCCCTGGAGAAAGGGATCTGGGGGTTTTGGTGGATGGGAAGCTCAGTATAGGTCAACAGTATGCCCTGATGGCCAGAAGGGCCACGCGTATCCTGGGGTGCATGAAGCACAGTGTAGTGAACTGGTTGAAAGAAGAGATTGTCATGCTATGTTTGGCACTGATGGGCCTCACCTCCAGTGCTGTGTGCAGTTCTGGGCTCCACAGTAGAAGAAGGATACAGAAACATTGGAATGTGTCCCAAGGAGGACAGCAAAGATAGCGAAAGAACTAGAGGGCATGACTTACGTGGAGCGGCTGAGGTCACTTGGTCTGTTCAGTGTAGAGCAGAGGAGACTGAAGGATGCCTTCATTGCTGTCCACAGCTTCCTCATGAGGGGGAGCGGAGAGGGAGGTGCTGAGCTCTTCTCTTTGGTGTCCGGTGACAGGACGCCTGGGAATGGCTTAAAGCTGGAAGTTCAGATTGGATATTAGGGAAAAAGTTCTTCACTGAAGGGCTGGTCAAATACTGGAACAAGGTCCTCAGGGAAGTGGTCATGGCCCCAACCCTGCCGGTGTTCAAGAAGCGTTCAGACAATGCTCTTAGGTACATGGTTCAACTTCTAGGTTGCCCTGTGTGGAGGGAGACCAGTCATTAAATGTGAAGGACCTCAGAGTGTGGTTTCCTTCAGACCAGCCCAGATGCACTTTACTGAGTTCAGTTCATTTCATTTTTCTCCCTGATTCTCTAAGATTGTCAAAATAAATGATTTAGGCACATTATATGTACTAAGGGCTTTTTCTGATGCAGTCTGGGGGACAGCTGTCCCATCTGGAGTCACTTTAGCTATACCAGCAGAAGTATCTTCAGGATATATGTAGCCACAACCCATGGAAATCTCCAATATAGTAGTCTCCAGGTACTAGGAAGTGTTGGATATATGGGGCTATATGCATTTGTTGTGTTTGAAAGAAGTTACTTGAAGGTAAGGGTAAGCCAAGCAGAAAAAAAGTATTAAGTATTTTGCTCTGAATCTGGTGAGATTTTCAGCTGTTTCCTTTCTGCAGGAGCAACACTGGCGTCTGGTCCAGCTCCTGCCAAAGTTGTATTTCCCGCTTTTGCTTCCTTCTGTGTTAATTTTGGAACAGATAGTAAAACTGAAATGGACCATATGGCTAATCCCCGAGTGCTAATAGCTGGCTTTTACCTTAGTCAGCATCTCCTCATCCACTGCCAAAATCTTCTTTTGAGTCTCACGTGACAGTAGAGCAGAGGGATAGTGGGCAATGCACTGCGTTTGTACTAGAGGACTCGGGTGCTTGCAGAATTGGAAAGACATGATCTATCTACCCCACTATTCATGCTGCAGCTGTTGATCCTGGTTATGTAGGTTTAACCTTCTGGTACTGGAGTTACAGGTAGGTTATTGGAGTCACCAGACTTGTATTAATGAATCTGTGCTAGGTGCTGAAGGATGCCAAAAAGCTTTAGTACCCTACAAACTTTGGTGGACTGACTGTATGCAAACAGGGTTTGATTGTTTTTTCTTGTAAATACCCGTGCTGAAATGTGTGTGTCAATACGTCGTCGTGGTTCCTAGTAAACTCAGATTGCTCTTTGACCAAGGTATTCTGTTCTCCTCTCCTTTAGGCTATGCCCTCATACCTTCCACTAAATCTGATAACTTCTCAGACTCCAGTCACAGTGAGATTTCCTCCCGGTCCAGCATCGTGAGCAACTGCTCAGTGGACTCGATGTCGGCAGCGCTGCAGGACGAGAGGAGTTTGTCCCAGTCTCTCATTGTGGTGGATTCAGGAGGGGCAGAAAGAAAAGAGCATCCTCAGCCGCTGGCTGATTATGGCCAGCCGTGCCCAGGGTAAGATGCAACTTGGTTTTAGTTGGGCTTGGTGTCCTGGTGTCAGAAGGGGTAACGAAGCTTTGGTCAGGACACAGTTATGCACTCTACTGTGGTTATTAAACTCTTGCTAGAAGCTGGAGTATTGGCTGCTCTGTATGGGAAGAGCCTGTTTTCCCAAGAAACTTACATATTACTTGGGTAGACAACAGCTTGTTCCCATCAGTGGGGTTCAGATGGACATCTCTTGCAGGAGACTGCAGATGTGTTAAAAGCTAGGATGATGCTTAACAAATTAATGCAGTGGTGAGAGACAGCAGAAGAAGAACAGGATATTCTCTCTCTGAGTCAGCAGTGCCAGTCACTTAACATAGTCTAATGTGAGTTTTAAGGATTTTTCATATTACCATTTGTTGCTTAGGCAGACTGGGAGCTTTCTGCCACTGGCTTCCTGAGAGTTTCCACACAAGAGGTCTTGTTACTTTAGTGCAATGAGAACTTGTTCTCAGATGACACTTTGAACTGAAGTTTTTGGTTTTGTTTTACTAGATGTTAAGCCTTGATCTGTAAGATTTAGTATGTGGGAATCTCCTTGGGATAGCATCTGCTGTTCTCAGATGGGGATTCAAGTAAACGAGAGATGCTTCTTACATTTCTAATTTTTGCAGCTCATCTATAAAGCTGTGTAAGGTTTTAATGATTGAACTCTATAAAGAACTGTATATTGTTTCTGTATAACTGATCATAATACACCAGTAGCATGTGGTGGTCTCTCCCCTCTAAAAGAGCTTATTAGTGTATGCTTTGCTAAAGTCATGCAGCTCTGAAGAAATTAGTGATTCTGTTTATTTCATTGGGCTAAAATGGAAATTGAAAGATGTGCTTCATAAAAGAAAAGAATTCCCTTTTCTAAAAGGCACAACGCATGCTGAGAGTTTCGTCAGAACAGTAACAGTGTACTGAGTGAAATGCCTTTTCGTACTGGCTATGAAAAACCACCTTCAGTGGTAGCTGACGTGGGGTGCGTTGCGCCAAGGACACTGCTACTCTCTAAACTCATACTTCTCTTTGCAAGTTAAAAGCAGATTGTTCATGTTTTGTCGTTCTTCCTTTATACCTTAGTTTCAGTGGTTTTGGAGGGAAGAAAGCAGCTTTTATGCTAGAACTTATAAAATAGAATAGCAAGGGGAAAAAATGTTGTTTGCACATATCTAGGAAACGTTCCTTGATTTCACAACATGTCAGTAAACTGCTGAGGGATAGCATGGAATTTTAACGTTGTGCTGCCCATGCATTTGTTAACGTAACCAGAAATAGTTAAGAGACTGGAATAACATCTAGCAATTGTAACTTCATGTATTCTAAATCCACGCAAACTTGGCTTTATTTTTTTCGCCCTTCATTATGTGTTGACAGCCATTAGAGCTTTTAGCAGCCATTTCTTTAAACAAGAAATTCTATACTTCAGTTCTCAGAATCTGTCACTCCAGATCGTTTCCACAAATGTTATTTATGCCCAGTATTTCCAAATGTTCTTGAAATACAACTACTTCCACTTTATGTAAACAACTTTATGTTGCTGCCTGTGAAAGGGTGTTTTTTATTCTAAATATTTATTTTGGATTTAGTTTATAAATGCAAAGAAAAAGATGGTGGTAGCCTGAAACTAAGAGGTAGTTACTCCTTTCCTTTGTGTCAGACACTGTCTTGCTGTAGTTGATAGAGGAAAGCTTCTGAGGACCAGATTTTTATGTATCTGAGGTCAAACCTGTAAATGCCTGTCACAGACTTGTTACTCCCTTGGGAATAACTTCCCTGCTGCCATGTGCAGTAATGAGTCAGGAATAACGGTGTCTCTTCTCACTGCTCCCATGTGCCTTGAGCTTGCTGCCTCTGTGTTTTGAAACCAGAGTTTAGTTGTCTTTAAAACCAGATAATTGTCTCCGAGTATGTCACTCTTACTTTAAAAGCTTGTGAGTTGTGTGGTTTTGTTTGCTTGGTTTTTTTTTTTTCCTGATTTCTGTTGTTTTCAAACGTAGCTGGTCAATCACTAGGCCTGCTCTCATCAGAGGGATGGCTTTCACCTCCTCCATGAGCAACGAGGAGATCTCCCATGAACACATCACAGTAGAGGCAGCAGATAGCGGCCGGGGAAGCTGGACTTCATGCTCAAGTAGCTCTCATGACAACTTCCAGAATATCCCAAACCAGAAGAGCTGGGATCTCCTTAATTCTTACCGTCACACCCAGCTGGACGGACCTATAGCTGAAGTCGATCCCACAAACTGTTACTCTGAGGAGGCTTATTTGTACTCCGAAGCCTTTTCCAAGACCAACAGGCAGTCAAAAGCCAGCGTGGAGCTCGATCAGTCTCGGCAGAGCTGGGCCTCCTCCAGCTCGCTGTCAGACACCTACGAAACAAACTATGGGACAATTAAGCGGAAAGGGCTGGAGAACTCTACAGCAGAGCAGACGGAGGTTTTGGACTCTAAACCAGGCGCTGATACAACTTACAAAACTGTTACTTCGAGTACAGAAAAAGGCCTGATAGGTAAGCCAAGCCAACAGCTTATGAAAGCTTCTACATGTGTTTTTCATTTTGATATTAAGTTGCTAAGAAATGACATCAGCAGGTCTGGAGGCTGGATGGCATGTTAAATTCAGCTTTACATGTGGTTTTAATGAGAACACTACGCAGACAGTGTGTTTTCAAGCCACCTTCTTTTGCATTAAGAAAATTGAAATAGTAAACCAGCCCGGTTCCCAGTCACTTTATGGGTCTGCAGGAGAACTATCTGCATGAAAATTTCCGGCGCTTCCTCTCTGTAGTATGGCCTTTTATTTTTTTGGATGATTTTGGAAACACTTGTCACTGTAGAGATCCCTCTGATGAGGAGCAACGAGCATGGCTTCTTGAAGGCCATGTAACACAATACTTTCCATGAACTGGAGAGGGAAGAGCAGGACTGCTGAGTGGTACAGAGCTCTCCCACCGCTCTGGAGCTGGGGCACCTTTCATCCACAGGGCTTTGGTGTCTGGAAGCTCAGGAGCAAAGCAGATTCCCTTCCCGTCTTTGCTATGTTAAACTGCCATTTATTTGGTTACAAAGCTGCAGTTTGACTACATATGAAAGGAGAAAAAACTTATAAAATGTCTTTTCAAAGATGCATAGTTCTGCCAAGCAAGATGTTCTTTCACTATCCTAGTCAATTAGCAGCCAAAACTAAAGGAAATGGGTTAGCAACAAGATAAAATGTGGAGTGCAAAGCTTTCTAGACTGTAAGTCAAGGGTGCAGCTGAAATGCAATTTAATTACTGACTAAATTGCCAGAGGAGTTTATGTTATCAAAGGTAATTGCCTGAATAAACATTGCACAGAGGGTGGAGGCCTTGGATTACATTCCTTCTCCTTGCCTTTGTAGAAGAAAGGCAGCATGGTGGAGCCTTGCAGAAAACTTGCTCACAGCTCACTCCTGTGCACGGGCTCTGCCTTTGTAGCCTTTCAGAGCTGCTCACGAGCCTCTGAGCTGTTCTAGGAGATGGCGTGTTAGCTCTTCAGTACGTGCCATCCTTGCTCACAGCTCTTCCCCTTCTTTGTAATTCTGTTTACATGCTGCACCATATAGTTTGCCTCCTGTGTGCAGTTGTAGGACACTGGTAAGAAACTCTGAGCAACGTGCTTCAGCAGAGCGTGCAGATGTCTGCTTAAGCAAAGATCTGATATAGGTGGGTATAATTTCTGGTTTGCAAATGCAAATCAGTTAGCTATTCACCATCACACAATATGCCAAAGATATTTTATTTTGCCATTTGCTTATTCTCTACAAACAGCTTGTTGCCAGAGTCTGTAATGACTGCATGAGTTTGGAATATTGTAAACAAAACAAGAATCTTCAGTTCGTTTGCTTAATGAGTGCTGGTATCGAAGAGTTCCCCAAAAGAATTGGCACAAGCTTTCTTGCCTGAAACCTTTAAAATGGAGCTGGAAAGGCACTGCCTACATACTAATGGCAGAATGTGGTCTTGACAGAATCAGTAAATGTGATGGCTTCATAACTTCACGTGCATCTCTACCCGCTGCAGCTCGAAGGTTTCTTGCTGCAACCTTTGCTTTGCCAGCAGAGAAGGTGTGGGATGGTGACAGTGTGGAATTGCTGTACATCCGCAGGGAAAGCTTTTCCATTACCTTTACCTATAGTGGGCATCACAATTTATATTGCTGCCTTTCAGTTACATTTCCCTGTGGAATTTCACCTTATTTTCTTTAGGAAGTGAATATTTGAGTAATCAGCTGCTTGGGAGGGAGATTTCTTGTGAAAGGGTTTTGTAACCTCCTGAGACTGTGGGTGGGTGACAGAAATTATGGACACTTAATGCTGTGGACATTAAATGCTTTTAGAATGTTTTATTTGGATAGAATTTGTAAAATATTACGAATTAGAACTTTATGAAAGGGCACACTAATCCTACTTTCATTATTACAATAGGCTGGATATTAGCTCTAGGAAGCCTGAAGCTTTCTCCTTTAGAGGAGAAGATACCCACCCTGGTCAGTCCTCCTGCAAAGCCAGGGCCAACGTTGCTCAGAGGACCCAGCCCTTCCCCATCCCTTCAGGGAGAAGAAAGCCTCCTTCACTTCCCCTGCTTTCTCATAGGGGCCTGGTTAAATGCTAGTTAAATGAAAATGATTCCTATAAATCAGCAGTATAAATCTCTGCCTGTACCCATGTGTATCTGCTCAAACCCAGACTGTGAATTCGGTTTTGTTTATTTTACTATAAACCCAAGCGTGAACCGAGGCTACCAGTTAACCGGCTGTCGTTCTGACACCGACACCTCACAAGTCCACAACACAATGAGAAATACTCCTTTATTTTCATCCTTTCACGTTCTTGTAAGATAAGAAAATATTACAGTTGCTGAAATAAATGAAACTGTAATGAATGTGCACTGTTTAAAATGTATCCACAAGAAGAATGCAAATTCACTCAACTAATAGATTTTAAAAATTAACCTAGCTTTGAAACTCTCTTGTTGCGACATGTAGATGGAAAAAGCCCGATTTAACATGCACATGAGCCCCAGACCTGGGGGTGGGTGGGAGGGGAGAGAACTTAAAAAATAATTAAGTTTTGGTTTGAGAGCCTGTGTGACCTGAACTGCAGATGAATGGGGCAGGAAGGTAGAAGATGAATAATGTGGCATGGACATTGCAGATAAGTATTATTGATTGTAGTCTTTTCATGACTGCAAAAGGTGTGATGCAGCCTTTCCAAAGGCATTTGTTTCCGTGACTGTTCCTGGTTATTTCTCACTTGTAAACAGAGAGCAAAGCTTAAGATAGAAGTTTAAAAGAAAACAAAACAAAGCAAAAACCCCAAAGGAAAAAAAGAAAGGAAAGAAATTAAAGTATGCGTATGATAAGCCATCATTTACTATTAGAAAATGTGAAATAATGAATGCAGGCTCAATGTACAGTTTGCCTTGTAGGAGCAGTTTTATGTGATGCTATTTTTCTTTCTTCCTCTAGTGTAGCTGATTGGATGGTTTAATGTCTTATTACACATAATTGATACGGTGATATTTTATTATAATGAATTTCCGTTAAGCCACTGAACTCTCTTTTGGGCGATGAAGAGGATGCTGTTGGAAGTCAACCAGTAGTTCTCGCTATCAGACACTAGCACGCTGTGCAAAGTAACTTTGGGGTAGTTGCCTTAATTTCTTTTGTTTCAGTTTCCCAGCCTGTAATAGAGAGTGGGAGCAGACTCAACCGGCAGCGTTGCCATGGTGGCATTGCCATGGTGGCATTGCCGTGCTGGCTCTCCGTCCATGCCGTAGAGCTGCTTAGCATCCCGCAATGGAGTGGTGCCGCAGGAGTAGGGAGTATAATGAGCGCTGTAATTGCAAGCTGAGTGTAGAGAAGGTTATAGTCCTGTTTCCACTCAACTGGCATCTTGCCTAATGAGTTCATGGGTTCTCTTGCTACTCTGACTTGTAAAATAAATAGAAAACGTAAATGAAAGCATAAATATCTGCTGCTGTCGTTATAACCAGTGTTTCTGCATTTGCGTTTTGTTATCAGTTTCTGTTTTGCCATTGTAACATTTCATGATTTTTTAACGTTTTGTTTCCTTTGTTTTCCTCTTTAACATTTCCATTGCTTATTTCTTGTGCCAGTGTACTGTGTCACCTCACCTAAGAAGGACGATAGGTATAGGGAACCACCGCCCACCCCTCCGGGATATATGGGGATTTCTTTAGCGGACATAAAGGAAGGATCGCCCCACCACCCACACCTAAAACCTCCCGACTATAGTGTGGCAGTGCAGAGGTCAAAGATGCTGCACAGTGACCTCTCTAGACTTTCATCAGCTTCTCTCGGTAGTGAACCGGTGGCCTGTATTTCATCGAAGATGCCTCAGTGGCATAGTCGGCAGCCGTCCAACCCCAAGCTAGCAGATATGACTGACGCAGATAGTGAAGAGGATGGTATGTGCAACACCTGACTCGGTAGATGTTAAGTGAACTGCTGTGTGAACCTGGTCTGTGCAGTGTTTACTTCACAACGATGTTCTGGGCTTCCTCTTGGTCATTCTTGGAGATTAAAACTTGATTAATCTCTAAACATACAAATATATTTGTATGGTTGTATACACATGCATATATATATATATACATGTATATACATGTAAAAAAAAAAAAGAATGCCTTCCCTTTAGAAAAAGCATGTTGACACTGAACAGACTCTAAATTATATATAAATAAATATATA